CCAAAAAAGCAGAGATACAAAGCTGGTAATCGAGAAATAAATTCAAAATACTACACAATCGGAAAGCTAGTTTTAAATAAAGCCAGATTATAAGTCTAATATCCTATTATTCTCTTATGAAATCTTATCAACATCATAATTATCTAAATCACAATATTTGACAGTCCACAAATCGTAATCGGACATTTTACACCCAGAGTAATAAATGATCGCTATAATATTAGAGTACTTTGCCTCCAACTGAGCGCACCCCGTTAGAAAACCCGAACAATCGTGATAGGTGAACTGGTAAATAAATAGTAGGGACATATTAAATTTATGAATTGTTTTGCTTGTCTATTTTATCTGTTTACGAGGTGAAAACGTTGTGAACAGATTGTTGTGGGAGATAGTAGTTTTTTTAGACTTGGGTTAAGCGTTTGATTGTTGGAACAAAATGGGCTCTTTTGGTGTTTGATATTTTAGATATAATTAAAGTTAGAATTTTGACTTTAACTATTTTGTCTACATCTTAAATTGTCTAATTATATGGAGATTGGAATAAATATTTCCAATGTTTTTTTTTCAGCGATTTAGTAGAAACATGTCCAATAGAACAAGGACAAACAAACAAAACAAGAACAAACATTTCAGTCTTATTATATTATTATCTCAAATAAATACCAATAAGGAAACAAATGTGTAATCTAATGATATTGATATTGACATTTTTCAATAAAATAATCTTGGAAATATTTATACAATATTTGACTAGGAAGTATCGGATATAACAAACAGAAGCCGATTGATCAAAATATCCTTCGAAATATAATAATAATGTGTGTGTGTGGGTGTGTGTGTGTGTGACATTACACTGTTTATATCACGTGAAATATAAAATGATACGAAAAATTTATCAATTTAGGTATCATTTTTCTTACGCGTCGACTAACACTTATAACACTGAAATTAATTTGTTCTATTTTTGTATTTAAAACTTGGAACCGAAGAATCGTTGATGCATACAATATACGGAAATCAATATTAAAGTTTTGAATATAGGACGCATATTCTTTTACCTGTCAATAAAAAAAAAGAAATGCTAAAAATGATTGTCTAATGATTGTTTTTTATCTGTTTTATGTCTGATTCAATAACTAATTATCTAAGCCAACATTTTTGTGATGAAATATGAGTGTTAATTAATAAATAAAAATACCTAGTATGTACCTGAGTTGTCCTTATTCTTTGTTTTGGAAGTCATAGCGCTATTGAACTGGCCAATACACCGCCATCTATTAAGTACGATGACAGTTCAAAACACTACCAGGCACTTCACTCATCTTCAAATGCTTTTTTCACTGATTTTACTTTTATTTATATGATTTTTTTAACGCGTTATATAATTTTTGAAATCAGATACCATCTTTATTTCAATATATTTAAGTTAATTATGTAAGTGTATTTAAAAACCTTACATATATGTTGTTGCCTATATAAAATAAGAAATTATTTTAGGCGTTATTTTCTTCAAAAGACGTTGTGATGATATTTCTTATAGATTAGAATCAATCGGAGTAAATTCACTTTTCATAAAATGTGTACGTAGGTAAGATTAGTCTACAGAAAACCAAATTCAATTGGATGTTTGGAAGAATGGGGAATACAAGTCATTATGTCATATTTTGTACAATTGTACGTATTGTTTCTTTTCAAAAATGTGAAACACAAAAGTTGAATACGAAAATAAACATCGTCTATTTATTTGGAAATCTATAAGTACGACATAATTTTGCAAATCGTTTGCATTCCTGTTATGACTTCCATCATGACATTTGGTACCGTTCCTCAGATTTTCCAAAATATAAGTGAGTGTACATTTTTTAGTTTTATATCTACCTAGTGTATAGAAGTAATATATAAGTGTTGAACGTGTAGTCGTGCGATTATCGGAGCAATGCTTGACCCCCATTTAATCGATTGCGTGATACCGCGACACGTATTTCGTCAGCAAAATCATCAGTCGTCAAATATTAACCCTGTGTTCGCTATCCACGGTCTGTTTAAACATAAACATTTTCTATTCCAGTTTCGATCGCGTGCATACTCACCATGAACAAGTATGTTTCTGCCTCATTCTGCCCTGTCAGTTATCAAATAATTGGACCAGTTTGTGGCACAGATGGCGTCACTTATCCGTCGATGTGTGATTTAGAATCTGCAAGACTACTGAACAACAGACTGGACGTCGCCCTTCTAAAACCTTGTAATAATTACTGCAACGAGCAATGGGAACCGATATGTGGTACAGATATGATAACATATACAAACATTTGCTTGTTTGAACATGGTCAGAAGGATAATCCTAACCTCAAAGCGCTTCATGTCGGCCAATGTATGTCACCGCTTGACGATGATCTTGGTAAAAGAGATGAAAAAATTAATACATTGAATAATAACTATTACAATCATCTGAAATGATTAAAAAAGGTACGTGCTATACCTAACTCGGTACCATTTTGTTTCCATATTTTTTCATACTAATATCATGACACGTAAACTAATAAAATTCACAAAACCTGTTAAGCTAATAATTAATAAACTATGTAAAAATGTAAAACATAATTTTATTCTTTATTTTTAAAGGGTTTTTTTTACATGCATATTATGTAAATTATTTTTTAAACAGCAGAATATAATGCGCTACTTGTATTTTTTGAGTTAATAAGCAGAAGGTACCTGTGTAAAAGTAAGAGTGGTTAAAAAAGATTTATGCTCAATAAATCTGAGTAAATAATAGTTACTATGTGAATTATATTCATGTAAAATAGTATCTATCTGTAATCTAATTGAAAAACTAATAACTTAAAATTTAAGATTAATATTAATTAATTATTTAATAATTAATGTTGCATGTAACTAATCCATACGCAAGTCTTTTGTATTTTTGTTAAACCTGAATCAGAGCTTTATGGAACTTGAAGATAGCTTGGTACATCGGCAACTGATATTATATATATAATGTCCATTTCTCTTCAGGCTATCATGATCCAAAAGGATTCCTTGAATCAAGGAACAGTACTCAAGCACCACAATGATATGACTGGTCATAGAATTTTTAATAATATATTGTTAAACATTTGTACAATTATTTTGTTAATAAAATATTCTTTGATAAACTTCGTTTTATTTTGCTAATAATTCTTAGGTCATTTAGTTTATCGATGTTATTTGCACATAACTGTGACTCTTTTATATTCAGTATCTCATATTACCCTCTATTATACTGAAGATCAAAATTAATATGTAATGAGATATAACATGAAAATTGTTAATAATAAATATACAATTTCTAATGAATAATTGTGATGAACACGGAAATAAAGGGCGTTGAAATTTGTCGAAAATCGTTCGGTGATTGAGTAAGACATGCAATATTTCACTTTACATTGGCGAGCGATTCATCAAGTCATGATCATGATGAATCGTTTATGTGATCGGCTTCTGTTGTGCAAATTTTACCATCCGTGCCCTCCTAAGTCGTGATTGAGTAACATGGGAACATACGAATAAACTGAGTCAAGTTGCGACACCGGCTGGGCGTTTATGTACCCGGCGTGCGCACGCGAGGGTTATAGGTACGGCTTCGTTCCGTTTAAAGGAATACTATACGTTGCCACATGACGCCGGCTGTTGTTTAAGGATTAACCTGTCGCCTGCTACCTAATATTTTGACGGTAAATAGTGATATCATATTGCTTTTATTTGAGCCATTTGGTGTTACAGTTTTTGTTAGAAATTTTATATTGCGACGTATTTTGACAAAGGAAGTTGCAAGGAAACAATTCATTGGGTAGTAATGAATATGAATTTGATTTAAGATTGGCAATGTTTTTATACCATTCCATACAAATAAGTTCAAGTCAATAGTAGGCACCAATTCTTATTTGACTGCGAAGTCTTCACAATTCAAAATCATTAAAATATTACCACGTCAATTTAAAGTGTCAAATCAATATTGATTATACTGGCGTTACAATGATCTTCGTCAAGAACAAACATGTGTTCGAGTACATAATATACTATTCATTGACTTATCAGATCAATCAACGGTACATTTATATGATTTATTGAGACTTGAGACTTGTATGAAGAACAGCTATTTTCTCTCCACCTTTAATAATGCATTCTCTTTATAGCTGTGTATAAACTAGCTATTAGTTAGATAGGTACTTCAAAGTAACTATATTTATAGTTTTTGAGTAATGATTTAGTTAAAAACTAATCTACATTTGGATAAAGGCGCAATGTGTATTAGAAGTTTGTTCAATGATAAATTCTGATATTCAAACCATTTCCTTCGTTTTCCGGCCCGTGGGCTCCACTCAAGAACTTTTCTGGCCCATCTGCTATCAGTCGGTCGAGCAAAGTGGCCTGCCCATTGCCACTTCAGTCTGCAGATTTTCCGAGCTATATCGGTAACTCTAGTTCTTTGGCGAATTTCTATATTTCGGATTTTGTCGCGCAAGGACACCCCGAGCATAGCTCTCTCTCCATCGCGCGCTTAGCGACTTTGAGGTTCCCTAAAAGGCCAGAAACCAGGGACTACGTCTCGGTACCATACGTCATCACTGGCAACACACACTAATTTAAACATCATGGTCATTAGGCACTGAAGGATATTCGATTACATATTAAGCGCCATTCAATTCAAAACTCTATCTCTAATAGGCATTAGGTAGAAAGGAAGGTTGTTGAAATTTACCTTTGTATAACATTCCATAGAATTATAAACACACCATACCATAGTTTGTAAACAATATCAATTAGGAGTTTCTCAGTCGGTTCATAACTCAAGTAAGTGCGGTAATGGGCAATGTCATGCTCCGTTAATTAATATACAATTGCAACTAATAGCCTAACAAATTGATTTATTTGCTATAAACTGTGAATAATTACTTTCATAGAGATCTTTATTTTACTTGAACCATCGTTCTATTGCTGCGGTTTGCTCCGGTAAAATGATAATAATCGTTGGTAAGTGAAATGATGTTTTTTTATATATTGACATGAAAAGACTTGGTTTGACCAGGAGCAGAAAAGGACCAGAAAATTTTCGTTGTTGTGTCCTGAACGCAAATGCCATAACGATTAGAATAGCCTTCTATGACTTAAACCAAGAGATAATTAATTTTCTAAATTTATACTTACATTCACAATCATTCTTCAATACATTTCAGCAAGTATTTTATTAATAATGCAAGTAACATGGGTTTCCAACAACCAGACGAGTTGTGACGAGAAAGGCCCTTTATGTGGAAACGATGGCAATACTTATGGTAACCTGTGCGAGCTTATATGGGCAAGAATTAACGACCCAGACCTTCAAATACTGCATGATGGTACCTGTACCGGCCAAGGAGTTGCAGGCGACGCCTCCCAAAACGAAGGTGACATGGAGTATTATAACAATAACAATTACAATAATTATAACAATATAGATATAGGCAGCCCTTCAACTTTTGTTTGGTAAGATAAATAAGTATTACATAGTTTTCTCATCATTGGTCGAAAGGACGATTTGAGGACATGTTTTCGTTAAGTAATTACTTACAAATACGTGAAGGATATTTATTTAACATATAAATAATTTAACTGGTATATGAGATTGTTAATGGAAGTCACTATGATAACAGTAACTATCAATTTACTTATTTACTAAACATCGCTTTACGGGAAATGGGTGTGAATAAGCAGATGAATCACCTGATGGAAAGCAATCAGCACCGCCCATATCCGCAACGCTTGAGGAGCTGTCGTTGCCTGCCTTTGGGGGCCTTAAGTAACCTCACTCACATGGGTCGCACGGATCTATTGATTACATCAATAGGGCAGGCTCGACCGGAGTGATACCACGGCCTCACAGAAAACTGACGTGTTTCGTCGAGTGCGTGAGGTTACCAGAGGCCCAATAATACCCACCCCAATCTCCCCAATCCTCAAAAAAGGCTGGTAATTCACTTGTAGCGCCTCTGGTGTTTGGGTGTCCATGGGTGACGCGAGAGCTCGTTAGCCGGCTTATCCCATAAAAATAAGTATTTAGTTTTATTTTATTGAATTAAACAATAAATGTAGTTTTGCATAAATTCACACTAAAGATATTTTATCAATCACCAGGATTTTTTTAATGGGTCTTCGTAGCTATCGACCTTAGGTAGGTATGTTTAGATATTTTTGAAGCGCTGTTATATAATATCTTTTATAGGGCCGGATAACGTTGACTTCCAAATTCAAATGAAAAAAAAAGTTGAATTTGTTGTTTTTTAATTTTCTTTGGATGCAAGGCACTAACTACACTCTGTAGTACTCACTACTACTTCACCTTCATTGTCAACAAAGGCCTAAATGACGGTCTTGTTTCGCTTTGTAGTTGTGACAATATTCCATGAAATAAATTGTTATTGTATGAATGTTATAGTTTTATTTTTTAATTTTACATCGAAGGAAGCCTAGAGTCGGCTTAATAGTCAATTTGATTTCAGTTAAATTGGTAATGGCATTAAAATCTAAGACGCCTACAAAGCATGATCACAAGAAGATTAAGGACTTAATGCCTCCTGGATGGCCTCCTATTGGCTTATTGCCATCAAATGTAGAGAAGATAAAGGACTAAAACGATGTAAAAATAAAGAAATCTTTTGAACTTTAGCTTTAAATGATATAAGATTTTATTTGTCAAATAGGTAGTAGACCACTTATTAAAGACCACTTCCTTTATCCTTTTTTACCCGACTGCCAAAGAAGGAGGGTAATGTTTTTCGAGTGTATGTAAGTATGTATGTATGTCTTTTCCTTTGTGACCACCTGTAGCCTAAACGGCTTGATGGATTTTGATGTATGAGGTATCGTTAGATTTGTCTTGATTACGGGAGTGTCATAGGATACATTTTATCCTAAAAGTCCCACGGGATAAAGACATAATAATATTTTTTCTAAATTTCCCTTTAAAAAAATATGTATGCGGTATCATTAGATTCATTTCAATCACGGGAGTAATTAATATAGGATACGTTTTTTCTCAAAATTCCCACGGGAACATGTTAATTCTGCGTCAACGCAAAGCAACTCATGCGTTAGCAAGCAAAAAGATAGGGCGTGGCCTGGCATGCGGCGCGCGGCGCGGTGCGGAGGGGGATATGCTCGAGTATACAGCCCGATTGCGGGCACACGCATGAGGGCACACGTCGTTGACGATAGTCTTCTACATCTACAACATTTTCGTTAAATAAAAACAGCTAAAAAGTTATAAATAAAAAAATTATTATTAAAAAAACAAAATACCCGACTGCACACTAAAAAAAGAGTAAAACAAGCCCCACAATAATATTGATCAATCAAATGCTAAAAACTAATTATGTAATACCGTTTAAACAATACCTATATTAAAATACACTACAATATGTGTTCGTAATCGATAGTTAAATAAACAGAAACTTATTTTGAATACAAATTTACTGAATATAATTTATAAATGTTGATGGAAAGCATCGCAGGCGGGGACCACCTTGACCGCCACCAACGAAAATTCTGCTAAATGGTGCACAACCGAAATGACTATAAATAAGCCTCTGTTGGTCCCCGCCTGCGATGCTTTCCATCAACATTTATAAATTATATTCAGTAAATTTGTATTCAAAATAAGTTTCTGTTTATTTAACTATCGATTACGAACACATATTGTAGTGTATTTTAATATAGGTATTGTTTAAACGGTATTACATAATTAGTTTTTAGCATTTGATTGATCAATATTATTGTGGGGCTTGTTTTACTCTTTTTTTAGTGTGCAGTCGGGTATTTTGTTTTTTTAATAATAATTTTTTTATTAAATCTAGTTGATACTTTTAGGAAACTCAATTCAGGCGTCAATTCTTCAAATGTAGACAATAAGGACACATTATTAGTACAGATACCTTTGGACCAAATCTTCGGAAAATCATTCTTTAGAATTGAATGAATTTATGAAAACATTGCACATTGTAATGAAAGGTTATAATGGTTACATGATTTGCGGTAACCAAAAAACAATAAACTATAGGAAAATCACCTGTTGCTATTATGCAATTTATTACGTGTGGGTTCCTTAAGAATTCTAATTAACTAAATACGATCAATAAATCCAAGCCCATTAAATAAAGCAGTAAATGTTGATTAAATATTGTAATACTTAATTGCTTTTCTCTGAAATATAATGAGGTCTTGGCAGAGTAACCTAACATTTACTAAAGGGCCAGTTATGCGTGGTATCATTTGGTTATTCTTCATATTTTTCGGTGAGTATTTACTTAATGTATTTACAAACTTAAAGCTAGTTCCAATAGCTTGTTTTTAATAGATTTGGATGTTAGATAGTATGAAAGAGATACAATTTTGAAACATATTGTATTGATGGAAGTTCATTATCAAAATTCTATCTTTAGTAGTCTGATTTAGACACTAGATGTGCTTAACTCGTCGAGTACCGGTTTTATAGACACAATTAAAGAACAATAGGTCGCGGTCACCGGTGACCGCTTGGTGTTTGACAGATTAAAGCGATAATGGCGCCATAATAATAACTGCTAGTACGTCTATGGTTTATGTAACAGAACTTTTTTATGAGATAAACCGATAAACGAGCAGACGGAATACCTGATGGTAAGCAATCGACGTCGCCCATGAACACCCGAAACACTAGAGGCGTTATAATAACCTTATAAGGGCCAAAGAGTTACACGTTTAAGATTAATAATAAAATTAATGTTTCCAGCAACTCTAATTACACTTAATCAGGCAATCTCCTTTGATGAAATCGATGAGGACCCAATGAATAACAAGAAGTTTCAAAATATACAAAAGAAAATTCGACTTGACATGAGACGTATGAACCGACCTTTAACAGGCTACGGACAACAGCCCGTCAGTTTGCGAGAAAGAACATTCCTGGGAGACAGGAATAACTTTAGAAAAAAATTCAAGGCTTAATATTTTAGTGTATGGTAGTAAAATAGGGTAGTTTCCTAAATTTTATTTTAATTTTTGTCTGTTTTTTATGTTATCTATTTTAAAAAACGTCGCCCCACATTAGGATTTTCTCCTGTTTCGTGGGTGCGTTTACAAACATACAAGTTCACATACACAATGACACCCAGGCCCGAAACAACAATTTGTGGATCACGCAAAGTTTTGTTGCGTACGGGAATCGAATCCGCGACACGTTGCACGGCAGCCGATTGCCCAGCCACCGCACACCGCACCAGCCGTGCAGTCAATATCTGGTAGATTAATTTAAAACTTTAGACACGTATTTTTATTTTCTCACAATATTCAATACTTTCGACGATATATTAACTTGAAATATCATGTGACGTCACAGCGTGCCACATTTTGTAGCACGTTATGACGTTACAACCTCCCACTCCTAAACTTAGCGCCATTTTATCTAAGTATTGCAGCTTATTACGAGAAAATAAAAAATACATGTCTAATATTTTTTCATTATCTAACTGACGGACTAATTGGATTTTTAATTGTGATACCCAGGAAACTACCCAATTATGTAGTATGAATAAATAAGTAATGTTTAAAAATATTATTTTGCTTTTATTTACAAATGTAATGATGTTTATGCTTTTTTGTCATCATCATTAGTCTCTTTTTGTCCACTCCTCCTTATAGATTGGTGAGTTCATGATGTAGTCTTGTATCAAAAGAATTTGTTTTAGATGCCACAACAAAAGAAGAATGCAAATACATTAATATAATTTAGTTTATTCTATCAATTTCTTAACTCTCTATTTTTATAATAACTATGGTAAGACATACTAAATTACCTAAAAATCGCAGGTTACTCACGTGAATATACTGAAAAAAGCTCTACCATGAGGAAGAACCCCTCTGTGCTTCGAAACTAGTAGAGCTTCACGTGAGCTACCCGCTATTTTTAGTTAATTCTCTATTTTTTGTTTCTGTTATTTATATGCCATAATAAAATTAAATTAAATTAAAGATGCCAATAGTCCATACTAATCCCTTACATACGAGCAGCCTCATCGAATGGATTAGTATATAATCCATTACGAAATCCATAATTATTGCTAACACAATTTTAAATCCAACTTTAGTAATTAATTTTTCCGCTTCGTTTTGCTTACTCGGTTTTTTTTTAATTCCATTGTGTATTTGCAAAACGGCGCCATGAAGAATTCACACTGGCTATGGATTTTGATAACAGGTATTTCTTTTTCTTCTTTTTTAAAAATAAACTTTACTTTTAGGATTTTCTCGTATGTCGTGAGTGCGTTTACATAGGTAACTAAATACAATTCACATACCTACCAATCACATCCAGGTTCAAAACTACAATTTGTGGTTCACAAAAGAGTTGTTCGTTGTATCGCCTAATTGATGACTTAGGGTTGGATACCCGGAAAATCTGTACTGCAGTGATAGTGTCTGTCTAAGTTATAATATTCCGTGCAGTGCCTACAACAACATGCTTAGCCGGTCATCCATCAAAATTCTTATCATTTACCAGTTTTATTTAGCTTGCCCTAATTGTTTGTTTATTTGGGAGATAATTAATTGAAATTTTACCCCTACCTGGGTACTTACTCTTGAAATGTCAATGCAATTTCAATCCAATAAAATCTCAATAATTATTCAATGTCAAAACTATACAACCCCAATCGTAGCTGTTAAAATAGCATTTAGAGTACGGAATATGAAGCCAAACTCAATACATACATTTAGTGCATTCAATATCCACGCAATACGAATGCAATGGGCGCTAGTGTTGTAACTCAAGAGTACGAAACTTTACAATACCAATGTCGATCGATCGGAATTGGATTCAAGAATAAGCACCCAAATCTAACCTACAAGATCGATCTGATATTTGGCACACATCCCTCAAACTTGGTGACCATATAACATTATCTGTTGTTTCCACAACTGTCTACATTATGCATACCAAACGTAAACTGGATTGGTAGAATAGACCTCGTTAAAACCATGTAACATAAAAATATGTTTTATGTATAATTTGTTCTACTTCTTTGTTTTTCCAGCAGTCATTGTAATCCAGACGGCTTTTTCTAGAAAAACCAAGGTTCGATATTGGACAGATCTCACGAAGACAAGAGAAGATAATGATAGGATAATCTATAAACGCCCAGTGGTCTATGGGCGTATACATCGCCCTACTAAATTAGCCTTATTTGACATCATAGATCAAAGTTATCACAAAAGGACCAAAAAATCGAAAATATTTAATTTTGTTGGATAGTTCTCTTCAATTCTTAAATGAATTAAATGCATCTATTTTGATTTTTTTTTATCTTTTTTTTTAGAGATAACCTAACTACATTTCTTTCTATTTTTCTTATTTTTGCCTCTTTGTTACAAAAAGATCAGTTTTACATCATTATATTACTATCACAGATCTTATCTATCTGTTATTTAAGTACGTACTTACTATTATAATATCCATATTTTTTATTATGGGATCTAGTAACCTATGAACACCGCAATGTTACGGCGATCAGATAAAAAACCACTTTACTTAAAATAAATAATGTAGAATTGTGGACATATAATCGATTTCTTGGTGGAATTAAATACAACAAGCTAAAT